TTAAAAAATCCCATTTCTCTTGGACTCCATTTAAATTGCTCCAGACTGATAATGACTCCTTTACACATATTCTAATTTTAGAAAAGTCTATTTTTCTAAAGTCTAAAACTTTTGTTTTTGTGTGGTGTTACTCAGTCACTGTTCTTATATTAAACCACACTGACTGATGATCACTGGATCCTAAACTTTCACCTGCAGTAATATCTGATACCAAATCTCCATTTGTTAACACTAAATCTAGTATGGCCTCTTTACGAGTTGGCTCCTCAACAACTTGTTTTAGAGACAATCCCAGTAGGGAGTTTAGAATATGTGTGCTCCTGGCACAAGTAGCTAATTTTGTTTTCCAATTCACATCAGGAAGATTAAAGTCACCCATGATGATAACTTCCCCTTCATTGTCATTTTAGCTATTTCCTCAACTAGTAGATTATCTAACTCTTCAATTTGTCCTGGGGGCCTATAAATCACACCTACACGAGTTACTGTGTGATTACCAAATTCTAACGTAGCCCAAACGGACTCTATGTTTGCCTCACTAACTTTTATTAGGCTAGATTTTATGCTATCCTTCACATACAAGGCCACCCCTCCTCCTTTCTTGCCTTCCCTATCTTTCCTATATAAAGAGTACCCTGGTATTGCTATGTCCCAGTCATTTTTCTCATTGTACCATGTCTCGGTAACAGCGACTAAATCTACACTATCAGTTGCCATTATTGCCACAAGTTCATGGATCTTATTCCCTAAACTGCGAGCATTTGTAGACATGACTCTAAGCTTATCATTTTTTAACACACTTGCTACAGGCACCATCTGTCCTTCTTTTGGGGGACAATTGGATTGATGTTTTATCACCCTTTTGCCCCCCCCTCCTAGTTTAAATACATCCTAGCAAAACCTCTGAACTGCTCACTGAGAACATTTGTTCCCTTTTGAGAAAGATGCAAACCATCTTTTTTTGTACAGTTTATTTCCATTCCAAACAGAGCTACCATGAGAAATAAAGCCAAATCCTTGCTCCTGACACCATTCACCAAGCCACAAGTTAAAGTCCCTAATACGCATCCGCCTGTCGTTCTGAGTGTTATGCACAGGCAGAACTTCAGAGAATGACAGTGTGGAAGCAACCTGCCGTATATCATTGGCAAAAACACTAAAACTTCCTTAACCTCTGAAACCTCATTGCAAGCCAAGTCATTTGTCCCTAGATGGACAAGTACATCCAATTCCCCTTCCTGCTTTGCACGCTTAACAATATTACAGATACATCTCCTGTCTCTGTGAGCAGTAGCTCTGGGAAGACACCTCACAAGACCACCATTGTCCATCTCCACACCTCTTATGATGGAATCCCCCAACAACAACTGCTTTCTATTAGGCCTCACCATAGTCTCCAAGCCTGTCTCCACAACACCACTACCCTCAGTGCCTCTCTCCACAACACCACTACCCTCAGTGCCTGTCTCCATAACACCATTACACTCTGAAAGTGCAGAAAATGAATTATGTAGAGCAACAGACTGTGCAATATGCCTTTTATCCACAACTCTAAGTCTTCCAGATCCTACAGTAATCCATCTGCCATTCCTAGTATGTCTCTGCGGCAGTGGCTTTGCAGCAGTTCCAGCCTGAGTTTGTTTACCAGATAATTTACAAATCTCAGACTTCAAAAATACAATCTCCTGCCGCAAGATAGATAACTCTCTACAGATTAGACAACAACCAAACCTCCAAAAAGTGAAACAAATGCATAGCAACTATTACACTGAACTAAGTCTGCTATTCCAATGAGGTGAATAATTTAAATCAAACAAATCTTAACTTTTTATTTATCCTCCTGAATACCTCAGATTACCTCCAGTTTCTCTCCAGAATATCTCCAACCACACACTTCGAAGCAACACTTAGATGAAGCAACCAAGCTATATTAGCCAAGCTAATGACAACAACCCTTATATAATTCCTAAAATCACCACCCACTAGGAATGTTTAACACCTGGGTAGGCCACAGCTTATTTGCAAACAATAGCTAATTAAACAGCAATCAATTGCAAGTAGCTAACTATTCAAATCAAATGCCTTATAATTACCAACAGGAAATCAAACCTTGTGCAATCAGTAACCTTTTCCTACAGATGAATCTTACCTGTAACAGTAGAAAAGAAAACTCTTAGCAAACTCTTAGACAATTGAAGCTTCTGTAAAACTCTCCAGAATATCTCCAACCACACACTTAGAAGCAACACTTAGATGAAGCAACCAAGCTATCTGAAGCAACCAATACCTCTCTTAGTACAGAGAGCATAGCAGGAACAAGCTCTTACAAGAGCTTAGTGATTATACTCAGGGAAGTATAGTGATTATGGCAATCCCCCAGAGTGTAGTTCTCCAATCCCCCAAATAAGAGCCAAAACTTCATGAAGGTGCAAGATGATCTGAGATTTAATGGTTCAGGTTGGCTTTTATACAATTCTCCAGGTCAGAGGAATACCCTTTGGACCTGATTGGGCACAGAAACACAAAGGACATAAACCAATCAGAACAAACATACAGTCTGTGACACGCCCATGTACAGCACACAATCCCTCCCCTCTGCTTGGGAGATAACTGAGTAAAGTCCTGTAAGTAACTCAATTATCTTGTAGCAGAAAAAACACTTACCCCCTCCTCCTGGTACTCATGTGATGGTAGCTGGGGATCTGGACTGGCTGTCCAGCATCCCTGTGGGTCAGGCACAGAGACCACGGTCCCATCTGCGCCGTCTGGGAGATTGGTGTCTCCCATTGGTAGGGTAAGCTGCCGCTGGGGAGAGAGGGTGCTGTGCTCCTCTCCCTGGAATACAGGCTGCCGCTGGAGAGGGAGACCGACTGTCTCCACTCTCTGTAGGATACACTGCTGCTGGGGGGGAAGGACGACACCTTCGGCCCCCTGGGGTGCAAACTGTGGCTGGGGAGAGAGACCGACTGTCTCCTCTCCCAAGGGTACACACTGCCGCTGGGGAGAGAGGCTGGCTGCCTTGTCTCCCTGCAGAACACACTGCTGCTGGGGAGAGAGACCAGTTGTCTGCTCTCCCTGGGACTCACCCTGCCGCTCTCCTCAGCCAAGTCCCCACCAGGTTACCCCAGCAGAAGCGCTGGCATCAGGGCAGACCGCAGCTAGCCTCTGCCTCCCAAGCCCTCACAGCGTGTTACCCAATTACTTCAGAGGAATTCCCAGGTCCAGTAACTGTTTGTTGTGGGTGGGCTGCTCTTGTAACTGTTTGTTGTAAGTAGGCTACTCTGGCACTTGCTTTTTGTGGGTGGGTGGATTGACTAACAGAGGTACTGACCGACAGAAGGTCAGATGCCTGGTTAGTCTTCCCCCCAAAGGGGAGATGTGTGACAAAGTGCACTTCACCACTTGGTCCTGGAGAGGCCTGCTTGCCAGCCTCCTGCCCTGTGACTATGGCCCCTGGGAGATTGTACCCGTTTAAACCAGCATTTGGGCTTATGGACTTTTATTGTACGGTGCTGGCCTTTTAAAAACAGTGTATGGACATATTGAAACTTTTTGGACACTTTTTCTTCCCCTTTGAATCCCTGGGAAGGTGTGGCTCTTCCCTTCCCCCAGCAAAATTGTTCTCCAGCAGGGCGTTGTCCCAGGGACACTGCCAGACCAGTGGGAACTGGTTTGGGCAGCAAAAGCCATGCTTGCAAGTGATAACAAAGGACTTCGACCTAACTTTTAAATCCATGAACCTATTCAAGTGAATTTTAAATATGTTTGTCCCCAAGTTATACTGGTTAAAATACTATAATGTATGTACGATGTAAACTCTCAAAGTTATAAAGATGTATAAAAATTTAAACTTTTCAGCTAGGAGATGATTGAGTAGATACAGTAATTGACTCAATTATCTCCTAAGCAGGGAGAAGGAATATGATGGGTGTGTTTCTATTGTCCCATTGTGTCTGATTGGCTGCTGTACCTGCATTGTATGTGTTGTAATGTGTTTATTGGTTGTTCTGAAAAACCCTGTGGGTGGTACTATGTGTGGAAAACCTGCATAAAAGAAGGCCCTTTGGTGCCAAGTAATACAGTTCTTCTTCACCCTCAATCTAGAGTCCTGTCTCTTATTGGGGGAATTGCTATATCACTACAAGGGATTGCTATGCTCTGCATGCTCCCTTGGATAATCACTTCTAAGCTCTTTTAAGAGCTTGTTCCTGTTTCCCTCTCTTGGTGGAGAGGTTGACCCACTGGAGCCTGGAGCCTTGTACCAGGTCCAGGATGGGTAGGAGACGGCGAGACTCCAACCAAGCTACGGCGGTTCGTGGGGTCTGCGGTGGTTGTGGTGTCTGGCGGAGCGCTTGGAGCCCTATGAAACCCATACAGTATAACCCCTCCTATATTCCTCAGACCAATCAGAATACAGGATATTCAGGATCACCTTATATGGGCAGACCACATGGCAATTAGAGACAAAGGAATGTACTATCCACTTCCACACATGCTCAGTATACTGATGACTCATTCAACTGTTTGTAATCAGATACTAATTAGCATATGCCATGGTATTCTGGTAAATGGCTGATCTCATTCGCATATTCTGCTTAGCTAAGAGGTTGAGTGCTTGCGCTGTCTCATTGGTAATAATTTCAACCACTGCCTGTAATTTTATGATGTGGTTGAGCATATATATGGGGATATGGAGGTTCGGTAACCATAAGTGCCATCTTCAACCCAGGTAGCAGGTCCATAGTAATTTATGATACGTTGGGGAGGCCACTCATCATCTTCCCAACTACCTATATTCAATGATGCTCGCTTCTTTTTATGATTCACATCATAAACCTTAACTCTCAAGGTCTCTCCTGTTTCAATTGGCAACAAGAAGAAGGATGGTTTGAGCATACCTAGCACACATGCCCCTTCCCAATCTTGTGGTAACTCCGAGTATGCTTTTCTACCACAGATCCAGTACAAATTCGATGGGGCTCTCCAATTAAATGTAGCAGATAGATCAAACCATACTTCTTTCAAATTGGTGTAATTGGCAAAAGGATTAGTAGGTTCCGAGACATTTGAAGCTGACCACCAAGTAGTATTTTGAGTAATAGCATTATAGGCCTTCTGTCCCAAACATGTTAACTCTCCAACAGGTGTATTATACATTGGACCTCCTCTAGCTAAACATACATGACCTGTTTATAGATGTCTTTAAAAGCCATTCTGATTTTTCCCTTACATTTACTTGATGGCCTGTTTGAGAAGGCATCTATTGTTCAACAGTCTCAGAACCAGGGTACCAAACCTCTCTTGCCTCCCATGGCCATTAGTCTCCCATATTAGTACCTCCACATACAAAGCAGTTAGTTATATTAAGACTACCTGCAATACTCTCAGCCAAATCAATAAATAGGTTCTTAACATTATGGGGAATTTTATCCTCAACACTCATCTCCTCATAGAAGGAATGAAAAACTTGATGAGTTTGAGAAGCTGTTGTCTCAGTTTCAAGTCCTACATATATTATGGTCCCTGGATCTACTCCTATCCAACCTACACATGACCAATAGGGGCAGAAGTTAAAATCTCTATTTGGGCAATCAGGATCAGTAGATCTTTTGCTAAGGCATAAATACTTATCATTGAACCCATAAGTCCGTTCCCATTTAAGATTTCCACATACATTCCAAGGTTTTCTGCTACCCGAGATCGCCTTACATGCATCAAATAATAGAATACCCATAGAATGTATGGTGCTTATCACAGTCCTATTTATTAAGGTCCCCTGGGAGTTACTGTTCCGAATTACCAACCAAATTGTACGGGGTTGGAATTGGGGATCGAAACACTTGGGCTCACCTGATATCGGTTGACACACACTATAATCAGTATCTAAGTACCTACACCTAGACACAGATCCTTTACCTTCATATTGTGAGTGCCAAATTAGGGTCTGGGATATCTGGTTACCTCTTTTCGTAGTCTTAATACAACTAACACAGCTTGGAATATCCTCACCTTTACCCTCCTGAAAAATTATAAAAATACTAAACCACATAATTAAACACATTATTCTTGTGGGCCTCATCTTTATTCTTCGACCGTGCGACGGCACCTCAACTTCCCGCTTGTGAGGGCTGCAAGGATTGTTGTCCTTCTGATCCTCACTTACCTTCACAGAGGTCCCTTTGAGACACTCTGACTATAACAAGTAGGCAGGTGGTCAGGCTTTATTATGGCCGTCAAAACTCCTACTTGATGATCTCTGTAGACTTTTAACTAGAATGTCCCGATATCCCCTCGTACTTTTTCTCACAACACGTTCAATCCAACTGGGTTTGCGCTTGATCTGGATCTTACAAGGATTCTCACGATCTGGAGTAGCTTGCCAGGAATCTGCCGCTGGTTTAACCCTAGAGTGATGAATCCAAGGAGTCACTTCCGCCACCTTTACAGCTGTTGGGGTAGATAAAAGAACAACATACGAAGGCTAACAGGATACGCCCCAAGCTTTAACTCAATATGTATCGGTGGGATGTTACGAGCAAGTCCTGAAGGATTATTTTCTGTCCATACTCCTGGAATGTCAAATACAGATCCATCACTCTTTGGGTTTGCTTTTATTATTACAGAATAGAAACGCCATTCTTCTTCTTTTGGCACCAATACGGCTATTATGCCAGGTGATTTATTAAACTTCAGAGACGTTGATCCATTAGATAGAAAAGTTATCTGAGCTTTAAGCTTTGATAATAGATCGCGTCATAGAAGTTGAACTGGACACTCCGGCATATATAGGAACTGGTGCTTAACAAAATGGCCTCCTAGAATGCAAGTACGACTCCTGAGAATCGGTCTAGCAGCGCTTTTCCCAGTAGCTCCTATGACAGTTATAGTCTTCTCAGAAGGTGGAGCTACCAATTTGGTCACCACTGAATGTTCAGCACCTGTATCAATCATGAATGGACTTCTCTTTCCCCCTATTGTTACGTCGACCATAGGCTCTGCTCAGCCAAGGGGGATGGAGCCCGGTCGGTATCAATAGTCTTCCATGACAGTGTCAGCCTACAAAATCTCTATCTTCCCTATCCCTTAATCTCTAGGGGGATAATATCTACATCCCCTCTGCTATATCTATTATTCCCTCCAAAACTTCCTCTACCTCGTCCTCTATAGCTACTACCATAACCAAGTCGCCCCCTTCTCTCATCTTGTCTATCGCCTGCAATATATGGACATTCACCCTTCCAATGTCCTTCCTCTCTACAATAAGCACATTGATTTCTACCTAGTGGTCCCCTGCTCACCCTTGTCTCAACTCCTCTGTCCATCTCCCCTCCCTGTCTCACTACACATGTGATAGCTATCGCTAGCATATCTACTTTCTTCCTCATCTTATGTTCCTCCTCACATGTTGTCTCAGTTTCCCTATTCATATACACCTTATTTGCAACCTCCATTAGTTGTGATATGGATATCCCTGCCAGGGCCGGTGCTAAGATTTTTGGGTACATAGGCGAAGATGTATCTTTCCACCCCCCCCAAAATAACATCTTCACCTATGTGCCTCTTAACCAGCCCCTCTCCCCGTCCATTAGTGGTCCCCTCCCTTCCCTGTCCCTTAGTGTTCTTCTAAGCTCTCCCCTCTTTTTCCTGTCCCTTGGTGTTTCTCTCCCCTCCCCTCCCTGTCCCTTGGTGCACCCCCCACCCCTTTAGTGGTCGCACTCCCCTTCCTGGTGTGCCTCCTACCTCTCTTGTAGCATTGCCGAGTGGAGGATATCCCCTACAGGAGCTTTAATTTTCTGTACCTGGCCAGACTGACAGGGAGTGCTCTCTCAGTGAGCACCTCCGGTCAGTCTGGCCGGTACAGGAAACAGAAGCTCCTGTACTGCGCTCCGCCACGCTACACTCAGTGGTGTATACACACTGACAGTCACACACACTCAATGACAAACACACAGACTCACTGATCTGACACACACTCATTCATTGACAGACACACTGATACTCACACACAGACTCAATGACAAAGATACTCTCACTGATTTGACAGACACTCACAAACACACACTGACAGACACACATACACTGCCACACTCATACACTCACATGCAGTACTCATACAAGCACTCACAGACACACACACACTCATACACTCACAGACACACACATACACTCACAGACGCACTCACTCACTCACAGACACACATACTCATGCACACAGTCACTCACAGGCACACGGTCACTCAGGCACACATACACTCACACACAGACACACATACACACACACACACAGTCACACACAGACACTCACACACAGACACACACTCAGTCACAGACAGTCACTCACAGACACGCAGTCACTCAGGCACACATACACTCACACACAGACACACTCACACAGTCACACTCAGACACTCACACACAGACACACACTCAATCACAGACAGTCACTCACAGACACACATACACACACAGTCACACACAGACACTCACACACAGACAGACACACACTCAATCACAGACAGTCACTCACAGACAAACAGACACGCATACACACACTCACTAATTATTTTAATAAATAAACATTTTCCACCCAGCCTCCCTACCTGGAGAGCTGGTGTGGATGATGAATCATTCCCTGGGGTCCAGTGGGGCTGCTGGGAGGCATGCCGCAGTGCTGTGATCAGACGCGGTGAGGGAGCTCTAATCTCCACCCTCTGCTCCCTCGTGGCTGCCTTCTGATACCGCGGGAGCCGGAATATGACGTCATATTCCGGCTCCCGCGGCATCAGCAGACAGCGCGCGAGGGAGCAGAGCAGAGAGGTTAGAGCTCCCTCGCCGCGTCTGATCACAGCACTGCCGCACGCCGCGCCGGGGGTCGAGATGGTGGCCTGGCAGGAGGGAGAGCTTCCCTCCTGCCGGTCACTGAAATATTGCGCCCCCGAAACCGGTGCGCCCTAAGGCGGCCGCCTGTGCCGCCTTATGGACGCGCCGGCCCTGATCCCTGCAAATCCCTCTAATTTTTGTAGCTTTCTCTTAATATCGCTCTGGGCCTGGCTGACAAATGCTGAGTCTATCATTCGGAAGTTTTCAGGCTTCAGGATTGAAAGGAGTGTACAATCTATTTGACTCAAGCAGTCTCTCATAAAAAGCACTGGGTGATTAATCTGTTTTTTGTAACACTTCAGCCATCCTGGACATGTTAATTGCTTTTTTCCCTCCTGCCTTCATGCCAGCAATAATGGCTTGTTGATAGGCCTTTAGATGGATCAGCGGATGTCAGCGCCATTTACGTTCCAAAGGTCAGTAATAATTGCTGACAATCAGCCCAGGTAGGATTGTATGTTTATATAATGGAGGTGACCAAATCTGTCATGACTTGAGATTTGTCGGTATACGAGGAGTTATGAGTCTTCCAACTGAATAGATCAGTTGTGGTGAAGGGGACATAGACAAACACAGGATCTGCCCGTTGTATTTGGCCATTTTCGTCAACGTGTGTTGGGCCCGGTGTAAGTCGGAGGGGCATTTAGCAATGTCGGGAAGGAAGGGTGCCAGTCAATTGTTGGGTTAGTATGGGACTTCGGCAAGGCTGCTCAGTAATAGGTTCCAGTGTGGGAGTAGTAAGATAGGTGGAAGGGGGTGAGCTAATTTTACTAGACAGCTTTTGGCAGCTGGAAAAAATAAAAAAAGTGTTAAACCAAAAACCTACCAGTAGGTGTCACCAGAGGGTAAGTAATTGTATCAAAATAATATTTATGGGTCTAATAATAAAACTTAACTTTTAATATATTTATACATAAAATAAAACCTTATAGCAATAAATATATTAAAATAGGGTAGGCAATCCTACTTCTGTCTGTTGTATGCCAGTATAGAGTTAAAGATGATTAAACAATGTAATATCAATGTAACTCCCGAAGATGGCCAGTAGGTGGCCCTAGAGTGCCTCCCTAAAGTCTAATGAAGCAGATAGACTTTAATTTTATTAATGACACGGAGGCTCATATTATGCTAGTCCTGGATGTAGAATCACGGGAGGAGCTGAGGTGGTGGCTAGACCATATGGAGGCGTGGAACGGCCGAGCAATATTCGGAACCAGCCCGGACCTGATTATAGAATTGGATGCAAGCCTCCATGGCTGGGGCGCACGTTGTGGCAACATATCCACCGGTGGCAGATGGTCCATGGAGGAATCCACAATGCACATAAATTGCCTGGAACTTCTGGCAGGATCGTTCGCCATCCGCAGTCTCTCCCCTACGGTAGGGAGATGTTGTATACTGCTCCGTATGGACAACATCTCGTCAGTCCGTTATATCAATCATCTAGGAGGCACCAAATCCAAACGACTAGCAAACCTAGCGAAATAATTTTGGCAGTTTTGCCTTCAGAACGAGATTGCGGTGACAGCGGAACACATTCCGGGCTTGGACAACGTACAAGCGGACTGGAATTCCAGATATCTGCGAGATCCGGGAGACTGGCGTCTTCTCCGCTCTACCTTTTGTCAAATAGACGAATTGTGGGGACCACTGGACGTAGACCTTTTTGCATCCAGACTGAACAGTCATCTGCCTCGATACTTCAGCTGGCGACCGGATCCAACAGCCTCTGGGACGAATGCTTTCCTACAGACGTGGCCGAAGTCTCGGCATTACGCATTTCCCCATTTCAATCTCATTTCCAGGACACTATCATTCCTATGCACGCAGGACTGTTCACTAGTGATAGTGGTTCCACTATGGCACGCTCAGCCGTGGTTTCCTCGTCTACTAGAAATGGCAATCGACTCTCCACGAGTAATACCATCAAAACCAGACTTGCTATTGGACCCAGAAGGGAATCCGCACAACCTAATCAATCAGGGCCTGCTGCAACTCACGGTCTGGTTGATTTCCGGAGTCCCTGGACATTCACAGACATTCCACAGACAGTTACAAGACTCATGGACAACTCCTGGGCTCCAGGGACCAGAGCAGCCTATAACTCTGCTTGGCGAGTGTGGGCTAGCTGGTGCATGGAACGGTCAGTGGATCCGGTTTCAGCACCTCTGAAAGAAGTGCTGGAGTTTTTGACGTCCCTTTTCGAAGAAGGAAGAGCGTATCGTACCATTAACGTGTACAGGTCGGCGATCTCGGCAGGACACCGAAACCTGGAGGGCTCCCCGATCGGTCAGTATCCTTTCGTTTGTAGACTCCTGAAGGGGATACGCTTTGAGAAACCTCCACAGACCCGCTGTCAACATTGTCTTACACTTCTTGGAAGAATGGAAGCCAAATGAGGAACTCTCCCTTAAACACCTGTCTTGGAAACTGCTGACTCTGTTATGCTTACTGTCCTGCAAGAGGATATCGGACGTACGTGCCTTGGACTGGGACGCATTATCATTCACCCCAGAGGGCGTATCATTCTCCATATCGAGACGAACTAAAGGCAATACAAAATCTATCTCTTACCCGAGATACCCGGGACATCCTTCACTATGTCCGGTCAGATGCCTTCGGTCCTACCTGGATCGTACTCAGAGGTTACGCTCACCTGCATCAAGTCAATTATTTATATCCTTTCGAACCCCTTTTCTACCAGTGTCCATGCCCACGTTAGCTCGTTGGGTCAAGAACCTGTTAGCATTAACAGGAATTGACACTTCGAAATTCTCTGCACACTCGGTGAGAGGCGCGATGGCATCCAAGGCGTCAACGATTGGTTGTCGCCTCGAGGACATATTAAAGGCCGCGGATTGGTCACAATTTTCGACGTTCAGAGAATTCTATTTTCGGCCAATTGAACATATCTCTCTTCAGGTAGTGGCCAAGCTTTGAACTAGCATAATATGAGCCTCAGTGTCATTAATAAAATTCCAAGATTTTACTAGTAACATGACGTAAAGTCATGATTTTATTAATGACACGGAGGCGAGTATTATCCTCACCCACCCACCCGGTGGGCGTGAGACAGTCTATAAGGAGAGTCTTAAGACTCTCGCAAAGGTAAGTAACAAGGAATTTCAAGGGCATGTACACCATCCTTTTTTATGTACACACATAACTTGTTTTATCAGTTTGTTATCTCAATTGTTAGGAACATAAGGAATAAGGATAACATACAGTTCCAAAGTTTGGATTTTACCGTACATTCTCTTTGTTTCCACAGTGTAACGTACTGGTCACGGACTGGGTGGAATACCGGAAGTTATGGAAAGTTACGACGGCTCTTCGTCGACACAGACAAGAAAGAGGAAGTTAGAAGACTGTTCAAGACACTTAATGTTGATAAGTGTATATGATTGGCTGCCCTGTTACTAGGCAGATTACTTATGTTATTTCGTTTTATTCTCTTTCAAGTTAAATTCTTGCTGCTGAGGAGAATAATAAAAGAAATAGAAAGGATCTCTAACAGCCATCAACAGTTATCACTAGGATGTAATGTAAACACTGCATTTTCTCTGAAAAGACGGTGTTTACAGCAAAAAGCCTGAAGGTAATGATTCTACTCACCAGAACAAATTCAATAAGGTGTAGTTGTTCTAGTGACTATAGTGTCCCTTTAATATTTCCACTCTGTCTTATTCAGCTAATTAGTGTTGTATGTTTAAAATGACCCCGAATTCCATTGTGTTTAACTCTGATACAGTGCAAAGTTGCCACGCAAAACATGTAAAGCTGGTAGTGTCTGTACTTTTTATGCTGGTTTCATAATCTTTTTGTTGTATGGCTGTATGGTTTTTAAATCATGCCAATAAATTATATTTTTTTCTGAGGAACGCTACAATGTTGGCTTGGTGATTGCCTTCAATGGTTCAGTTAGCATGCATTCCTCTAGATGCCAAATGGTTAAATAAAACCTGGCAATGTGAGGGTTAATTTTGTGGTGGTGGACCAGCACTTGCTATAAAGCTGCCACATTATAAAAAAGAAAACAGAAAAAAAATAATAATAAAAAGCCTTCTGCTATCAAAAATACGCCTATATTACTGTGATGGATGTTTAAAACCTCCATATGTCCCCACCTGTCTGTGATACGGGCATATTTAAACATTTAAAACTAGCAACTAGGCAGCTATTGCTTGCCCTCAGGAGTAGTGGGAGTTTGAGCGCAGGACTTATTTATGTGTTTGTTTGTATTTGCTTTTGTATCACACAGCCATGTTACAATGCTGCCGTCCTCCCCATGTGTTCCCTATTAAGGGTTAATAAGGATATAGTAATTTAGACAAATATCCCTCTCTGTCTCATTAGACATTTTTTACATGAAGCTGAAAGAAGCAAGGTGAATTGTTAGCATAGGACTTACCCAAGAGGTGTGCCTTGATGTGGCAGGTGAGTTTACACTTAAATGACCAGTGGAATGATACTAAAAACCTCCAGTTAGGATTTGGGATAGTGCACAAAAAAACTAGTTTCTTTAGCCATTGAGCTACTTCATTTTTCTTGAATAGCCTACACCCAATGACCATGGGTGGGGAATGGAGGGTGGACAGGTCACTGTCTTACTTTAAAGTCCTCCATCAAATGCTTACAGGTCAAGAGATGGTATTATGTCCACCTAGTTATTTCACAGCCCTCCACCCCCGTGGTATGGCACCTTTTAGTGACTGATCAGCTATGACATAGTCTCTAGTTTTAAATGCATGGCAGATCGGAAAATATGGAATTCTGCAATCCTGTGTTTTTTGGTTTTTTTTCTAAAAAATAGCTTGCCTATACTTAAATCTAAACAATATTTTCCAGCAAATGTGTCAAAATTATAAATAATATAGTTCACAATAAATTAATTTTGGTTTTAAAATTATTCAAAAAAATATCACCTTTCAACCATCAATATAATTTAATAAAATAATACACACATTTGAAAACCAGCATTATTTAAAAAAAAAAATTAACCCTTTGACGTTTTACCGGCAATATTTCTATCAGTGTTACAAACAGATTGAGCCTATATTGCTGTCAAATAACTGGAGGGGGCTGTGACTTGTAGCTTCAGAAACCCTTATGTGTTGCTCTAATTGATGACTCTAAGGCAACTGCACTGTGTCATATAAAAATAAAACCTTTCAGGTTGTCCTTTCTGACCCTGCTAACTTCCCATCCCCACTTTGCAATGACACTAATGGCTCTACTCCCCAAGAGAAAAGAAAAAAGAAACCCATTGTGGTACATCTGATACTGTGTAAGTATGATTGGTATACGGTATATATGCTTTTAGTTATTATTGCCTACTGAATGGTCTGGGATATTCATAATTCTGACTTGCACCGAGGGCAAAATGATGAAGAATACATTGGTTATGACATCTTATTGGGACTTACCCAAATACAAATGTACTTGGAAATCTTTGATGTGAAGGCAATCAGTGACGAGATTCAAATTGGATATTGTGGGCCCTAAGCTGTTTAGGGCACTTATTTACCTACTAAGCATTAAACATGCTGTTGACGTTCAGTCTCTCTCTTTTTATAAAAAAGACTAAATCCATAGACTGTAGGGTCATTTGAACACAACCCCTTGTATGCCAAAACTTGTTTTTCTCACATTGCTTTGTTTGTCCAGTATATAGTACTGTGTAATATGCACTTTTTATGAAATGTGAAATATGTTTGCACTTTATTTAAAATTATAAAAAGTACATCATGTATAGCTAGGGGTATTTTCTTTAAGTGTAACATAACACTTATATCGGTGATAACACAACATTTAATTCACTTCCCTCACAACACTATGTATACGCAATATAAATCAAAGATTCCGTACATCAAGCCCAATTTAACATGCCCTTGATTTCCATCGTACAGAGAGACACATTTTCTTTGAGCATTGTAAGAATAAGAAATTTTGCAAGTTGCTGTAGCACTACACTAGCCCACATAGTACAGGTGCTTGGTGTAACTATATTTACTGTATGGTAGTGTGACGTATTGCCTGGCACCCCAACTGGGTACCTCCGTCAATCGCTGCTTCCTAGTACTTGCAAGTACCATCAGCACTGCACTGGAACACCATAACCACCATAAACCCCACGAACCGCCGCAGCTTGGTTGGGGTTTCGCCATCCTCCACCACCCTGGACTCAAGACTAGGATCCAGCTTCCAATAGGTAGATCTCTCTTAGTGCAGAGAGCGTAGCAGGAACAGCTCTTACAAGAGCTTAGTGATTATCCTCAGGGGAGTATAGTGATTATAGCAATCCCCAGAGTGTATGTAGTTCTCCAATCCCCCAAACATGAGCATAGACTTCATGAAAGGTAAAACAAGTGTTTTTAATGGAAGCCACAGCTGGCCTTTTCTGCAAGTTTCCCAACAAGGTTGACACCCACGTGGACCTTGTTGGGCACAGGGACGCAAAAAATTACAGCCAATAACAATACAGTGACAAAGTGTGACACTCCCAATACAAATAGATAATTCCCTACTCTCTGTCTGTGAGATAATTAGGGCAGATAATGCATTAACCTTATTATCCCCAGGCAGAAAAATACACATTTTTACAAAGTATAATAAATACCCCAAAACACAACATATTCCCATAAAAGTCACATCCCTGATACCCCTGATCTTGGTGAACAACATATCCAAAAATCACCCATATCAGAACATGGGTTCAGGAAATTCCTGGAAGTCTCTTTTTGACCGACCGCACGCATGGTTTCATGCCCAAAACAGTTCCAATAGAATTTGGCTGTGCAGCCGGTCTAGTTCCAATAGTTGAAGTATCGTTCGAATTACCGAACGAAGCCGTTCGTTAGTATAGTCTCTGTATGTCCCTTGTTCGTGGGCTTCGACTCACCGAACGCTGTTCGACTCACGTTCGAATAGCCAAGGTTCCCTGGGTTGTATTCTCTTAGCACAGTGATTGTATGAATAGCAGTTATTCTATGCACATTGTTTGAGGGATTGCTATTCAGCAAGCAGAAAACAGCCCATTAACTTTACATTCTAATGGAATTATTAGGAAGATACACCATTACAATACACCCAGGTTCCATAGAAACACATGATACTTGAACAATTTGTTTTCACACAATGTCAATCACAAACACAAATACAAATTCACTATTAGCCAAACTAACAAATTCAGTGTCACTTCATGTGCCATTCAATGTTTTATAAGGTAAAATATTTTGAACTGTTTTCAGAATTGTTTTCTTCTTGTTTAACTAGGTATTAGTTTGGTCCAAAGAGAAAGTGTTATATCTTGAGCTAGTGGTAGCAGCTGGTTAGATCATAGTGACTTTTTCTTGTTAATGCGTAACGTACCAAGAAGGGGTACCGACGAGGTCTGTGCTAACTTGTGCCATCTTTCTCGCCCACTAGATAGTAGGGAAAGCCACGGCTGTGACTCTGGAGCTCTATTTATATGTATGCTTGGATGTGTGTTACTAATGTGTAAGTATGCGGGCATTGTGTTTGAGAAAATAGTTATGGGTATTTGGGTGTATAACAAGTAATGTATAATTGAGGGGCAATTACGTATGTGTGAGAGTATGTGGCTAATTAGGTGTTTGAGAGAGAGTATGACTATTTAGCGATGTGCATATAAGAGTATTTGATGAGTTGTGTGTGAGCTAGTGAGGTT